CATACGACTCTTGTCTCAATCCATACATCAATTGTGCAAAGCACATTTGTACATTCATTGCCCTCATCATTCTCAAAACATTTCCTCTCCACTTAAGCCCCTGGGATTAGGTCCTCATTTTCCCCCTCCCTCCCCGCTCCCCCCTCCCTCATGAGCCCTTGATAATTTATAAATTGTTATTTTGTCATATCTTGCACTGTCTGATATCTCCCTTCACCCACTTTTCTATTGTCTGTCCCCCAGGGAGGAGGTCACATATAGTTCCTTGTAATCGGTTCCCTCTTTCCAACCCACTCTCCCTCCACCCTCCCAGTATCACCACTCACACCACTGGTCCTGTAGGGATCATCCGCCCTGGATTCCCTGTATTTCCAGTTCCTATCTGTACCAGTGTACATCCTCTGGTCTAGCCAGACTTGCAAGGTAGTAGAATTCATATCATGATAGTGGGAGCGGGGAGGAAACATTTAGGAACTAGAGGAAAGTTGTATTTTTCATTGTTGCTACATCGCTCCCTGACTGGCTCGTCTCCTCCCTGAGACCCCTCTGCAAGGGGGTCTCCAGTGCAGGCCCCACATTTCAATCCTTAATGATCTCTAAAATTCCTTCTCTCTGTCCTCACTGCTGACCAAATAATGATCGTGGTGAAATTTAACGAACATTTTTTTAAATGAACATTTCTATGTGCGTTAACACTTCCAATGCATTCCATTTAATCTTGTCCTTTAAATGATATTAGTTTCCCCTTAAATCTTATTTTGCTGTTGTTGTTAGGACTATACAGTACAAAACACACCGATTGCTACTTGGGTGGATTTCTACTGGTATAATTTGGTGGGTTCTTTGAGTGGTGCAACCATTCGAACCCTCCGTTCCCGAGTCCTTCCTCCCTAATTAGCACAACCTGCTAACCTTATTTAATCTTTCTGAGTTACTGTTATTAACTTGATTTCATACAAACTCCAAACCAAACGCACTGTCACCAGTCAATCCTGACTCACAGTGACCCTGCAGGACACAGCAGAACCGTCCCCTCGGCTATCCAAGGCTGTCAACCTCGACGGGACAGAACTGCTGTCCTTGTGGTTCAGAGCCCAACACCTCTCCCTCGATGCCACCAGGGCTCCTTTGACCCCACACAGATAGTGCTAAAAAGAGCACGGGGTTCAAGGCAGACATTCTTGAGCAGTTAAGCTAGACTATTCCATTTTAAGAAGACATCGGGATATTTTGGGCTTTAGGGGTAAAGGTTACTTCAGGGCAATTGTTTCAAGGGGTCCCTTCACCCTCTGTGGCTCTGGAGAGTCTAAAGTCCATGAGGATTTGAAATCTTTCCTAAATGCCTGCCCTCTTGATCAGGTTCCTTTCATTACAGTGCCCACTAGTGGCAGCTGGGCACCATCCACCCTGTTCTGGTCTCTGGCAGCATAGGCAGTTGCTCGTGGGGTAAAAAGTAGCGCATGACATATCCACCTCCTTTTCCTGAATCTATTCCTCTATTGTTCCAAATGAATGGACCGCAAGTGTTGTGTTCTAGATGGTTGCTGCTTCCCAGCTTTTAAGACACCAGGAAGCAAAGTAGGAGGGAAACTGAGCATTAAATGCATCATTAGGCCAGTGACCTGGGAGGGCCCATGAGACCATGGCCCTAAGCCTCTCAAAGCTAAAGAATGAAATCTCCTGAGAGAGATATATATCAGGCTCATCAAATAATCTTTTCTTTGTGTCACGGTTGTAAATATATGTCGTGCAACTTTTACCAATTCAACTTTTTACAGGTGTACAGCTTATTGGCAGCAATTATAATAATTGGCTGGGTAACCCAGCCCTTAATCGATGTGATTTTTCCATCACCGTTAATCTTCCTTTTCTCTCGCCCTCCCACACCTAATAACTACTAATAAAATTCTTCTCAATTTGCCTCTCCTTGTTCCCTAGATAAGACAGGTCATAGGCTGTGTGTCCTTTTGTGATGGACTAAATTCACTCAGCCTCGTGTCTTCCAGCTCCATCCATAGCTGCTGCATGTACCAAGACTTCATTTCCCCTGCTGGCTCAGTCGTATTCCGTTGTTATTTAAGATTTTAAAAATATCTAGGATTTTGTTGTTGTTGGTTTTAGGAGGAGGGTTTTCCAGGGACTTAGCCTGCCATAACTGATAAACACACACAAAATATTTTTGCATGTATTTCCCATGTCTTTTGCAGGAATGCAAGTCCTTTGTAAGTTGTTTTGTATTGTTCAAAACTACCAAGAGTTGTCACTGTTTTGGAAGATCACATCACTAATGGCACCTTTGGCTGGGGGCAGGGAGTGCCTCAGAGGAGGGAACGTTTGAGCAAGGCCTGAAAACAATAAGGCTGAGGCAGGGACTAGCCTAGAACTAAGACCTTGAGGTAGGAGCTGCTCGATGGATTGCAGCAATAGGAAACAGGTCCCCATAGTTTGTAGCCAGTGAGGAGGGACCGGCAGGAGAGGGGGTTTTATAGCTGGGAGGCTGTGTTAAGGAGTTCCGATCTACTTGTCTCTCTCTGGACTAATCACAGCCACCTTCAGACATGCAAAGGCCACATACCTGAAAGCCTGTGCCGCCACAGATTCCTATGCCTAGGATGAGTTTCCTGTCTTCTCTCACCAGTCATTAAATTCTACTCATCTTTAAAGGCCAACTTCAAACCTGTTTATGAAAGCTTAGCCCATTCTTTAGCAAGAGCTAGTCACTCCCTTGTCTGACATCCCATAGCACGCGTGTCCCTATGGCACGAGCTGACTTGTATGTATCTCAGCTAGATGTTTACATGCCAGTCCGCCTACGACGTGACACCGCGACTCAGTCACCCCAGTAGCCACCTCTTGGTGTCTCAGTCAGTGCCTGGCCCACCTCAGGCACTCAATGAATGCAATGATGTTGTGACATTCACTTGACTAGTGGGTGGTGCCTAGTGCTGCTCATGACAGAACAGATGGACACCCAAAGCAATAACCATTTATAAGGTTCATCATGTGCTCCCTGTTCATTATCTGATTTGGGCCCTCCAACAATCCTCTGCGGCAGGTGGGGCAGACATTACTAGCTTTATTTTACAGATAAAGTAGTTGAGGCCCAAGGCCATACCACTAGCAAGTAAAAGCCCAACTAAATTTATTGCCACGGAGTGGGTCCTGAATCAAAGCAAACCTATAGGATAGGGCACAAGTTCCCCATAAGGCTCCCCAGTCTTCCTTTAAGTCTGACATCAGGACTCCCTAGTTAGCAAGTTCACTGCCACTGAGTCCATTCTGACTTAGAGTGACTCTCTAAGTCAGGGTAGAACTGGCTGTGTGAAGCGTTCCTGAGATTGTAAATCTTTACACCAGTAGAAAGCCTCATCCTTATCCAGCGGAGCTGCTAGTGGTTTCGAACTGCTGACCTAGCAAGCTGCTAGATTGCTGTGAGGTGCTGTCAAGTCCGTTCGAACTCTTAGTGACCTTATATACAGCAGAACAGAAATGAAACACTGCCAGGTCCAGCCCCATGCTACCAAGCGCTACTCTCTTCATGAGGCTTCCAGCAGCAGTCATTGGGGGTCGTCTCCTCCATCGCAAGCCTGGATTCAGTGCAAGGAAAGGCGATGCAAGGAGAAGCCCGAAGTAGAGCGTTTTGAGGCTATAAAGCAAAGATGTTGGTTTCACTGGGAAAGCACTTTTGCCAGTGGACTAGGTAGAGCTCCTGAGTCAGCTGGGACAGAGCTAATAGCAGCCCCGCCAGGGAGAACACAGAAGTTATTTCCCTCATCTAAGCAACATCAGCAACCCAACCCCCTCCCCAACCTCCAACGCTAGGGAACCCCTGGCC